GTGAACGGACGACATGCAAGCTTTATGTATCTGAGTGAGTGTATTTGCAGCATTTCACAATAGCTACTGAGGAATCAAACAGATAGTAAGTGTTGTCCGCCCGAAACACCACTGCATGACCGGTTTCGAACTTAGTCTATCTCATCAGGTAGAGATAGCAGGCATCGAAATCAACGACCATTGGAATGTTGGCCGAAGTATCTACCCGTTCGGCCACCGGGTCACAACAGGTAACGCTTGCCATAACAATCGTGGAGTGCAGTAATGAAATGCCGTCAGCGTGAACTAACTATGATGGTACGGGACAGGCGGACAATCTAGAATCAGATTGGCCATGAGCAAGCAAATCGCAGTATGGTTAAATACAAGCGCAGCAGTGAGCGAACAGCCCGGGCGATTTAACGAAGCCAGGTTGATGGCATGGGGTGCGATGGCATCTGAGCAAATGAGCTGATGGGCCCAACATGTAACGAGTGAACGGAAGGTGAATCAGGCGCCGCTCAAGCCAAATGAGTATGGTTTCAGAGGGATAGAGGAGAACTGGTGCGGCCAAGTAAGAGCTAACATCAGTGACTCTAGACAAGGCGAGAGTAAACCGGAGGAAGCAGAGAGCATGAACACCGCGTGCCGATCAATGGACTTCGAAATAATTTGAAAAACTGATGGCCCAGGAAGGTTACTCGGCTGATCATTGATTGGCCGAGCTGGATTGAATGGTCGCATCCGTTTCGTCACGATGCGAGGTGGCACCATCAGGATGAGGATGCGCGATGAGCAATCTCACAGACTGAATCGTCTATTCGTGATCGACGGACTGGTGACTTATGAAAGTGACGTCCTCGATTGGCGCCCAGTGATCTTTGCGCATTTTTCCCCGCGGCCGAAGCAATCGCTCCAGTTGTTCGCGGCGTTATCTCCTTTCAGGCCCTGCTTTTCATATCGTCAGAAATCGTTCTTTGTGAGTTGTTGGTATATGGGGTTAACGTCAATGCGTATATAATTAGTAGAAGAAAACCAAGCTTCCAGGAATTCTCTTCCTTTTTGCGTCTAATTGAGCCAGAATATCCGTTCCGTTCCAGTCGAAGCTAAGCACCTCCTCATCCACCTACGCTGATACCAGTGAGGATGCGTAATGCTTTCTATAGGTCGTGTGTTGTTCTCGTATTCTGGTCGATAATTTCCTTCTTGTCCATCCTACACAGTTTTGTCCATAGTCATTGCAATGTATTTTGCACACGACATTTGTACGTTCTTGTCCTTTCCGTTTGTCCTTTGGGTTTGACAGTGTCATTCTCCAAGTGCCGGTTAGCTGGTGAGCATGGTGTTGTTTGAGCAATCGAGCCGTCAGTTCAGATATGTTCTTCATATACAGTAAAACGATTCGCTTGCCTGTCTTTATCATCGGCTCTTTGTTTGTGGTCCTGTGATTTAACAATCTACGGGTGAAGCTGCGTATCAGTTGCGCTCAGATGAGTTGTATAGGTATTTCTCTTCTGCCCGTTTCGCTTCCACAGTACTGTAGTGTGTCCCAATCCTGAGAAAGAGCGTCTGTACGCAGCTTATTTTGTGGCACTTTGCGTGGTTAATGCAGTAGCTCAAAATTTGGTCCGTACGTATGCCTTTCCTGCAAACAAATGCTTGAACTCCACCGTCTAATGGTGTTGACAACAAAAGGTCCAAGAATGGGAGCCTGAAAACTGAATAGTCGCCATTGCATTGCGTGTGATGATTACAAATGTATCGTCCGCGTATCAGGCCACCAATTTTAGGTTAATTGTTGACAGTAGGTCGTCTTCCAAATGTTTCATAACAACCTCAGAAATCTGCCCTGATACCGGGGATCCCATCGGTTCCACCCTTCAATTGTTCATAGATTCCTCGGTTGAAATTGAAGTAGGCCGTGAGGTAGAGGCTTAAATCACAAGCCCACAAACAAAGAGCCGATGACAAAGACAAGCAAGCGAATCGTCTTGCCGTATATGAAGAACATATCTGAACTGATGACTCGATTGCTCAAACAACACCATGTCATGGTTGTGCCGTTAGTTGGAGAATGACACTATCAAACCCAAAGGACAAAGGGAAAGGACAAAAACGAACAAATGTCGTGTACAAAATACATTCCAATGGCAGTGAACAAAACTATGTAAGATAGACAGGAAGAAAATTATCGACCAGAATACAAGAATAACAAATGGCCTGCAGTAAGTATTATGCGTTGTCACTGGTATCAGCGCCTGTCGATGAGGAGGGACATAGGTTCGACTGGAACAGAACGGATATTCTGGCTCAAGTGGAGACACAAAAAGGAAGAGAATTAACAATAAAGGAGAATACCTGTAGCTCGGATTGTCTGTTCAGGTTTAGGTTCATTCTCCGAGCCGAACTATTTCGTTGCAGACGTTTTATCATCAATCAAAACGACTTCGTCAGTGCGTGCTAAGAGGAAGAGAATTCCTGGAAGCTTGGTTTTCTTCTACTAATTCTATACACATACGCATTGACATCGATCCCATATACCAACAACTCAGAAAGAACGAGTTACGACGATTTGAAAAGCAGAGCCTGAAATGAGATACGCCGCGAACGACAAGGGTGACTCCTTCGGCCGCGGGGGAAAATGGACAAAAAACATGGGGCGCTAATCGAAGACATCACTTGCAAAAGTCACCAGCCCGTCGATTACGAAGAGATGATTCAGTCAGTGAGATTGACCAGCGCGCATCCTCGCATGGTGATGAAACGTGTGCGACTATTCAATCGAGCTCGGTAAACTAGTGAACAGCTGATCAATGGACTTAAAAGGATGGTATAAGAGGTGAAAAACAACCAGCAAAAAGCGCAGCTTAAATGTTTGTATAATATCAATAACCACATTTCACGGATAATACGTTTGTAATCAAATGCTTGGAAGATACTTGGAACCGATCGCGTAGTTCAGATTTCAGGGAGGTTTGAAAACAATCGGTTGGTATAGTAGATTGGTAAGGTTTCGCTCTTGACACAAGAGCTTCGTCAGACCATGTGAATCAGTGTGCGATTGCAGTGGGATTTTATAGCGTCGTTTTCATTCTCGGAAGGCCCCACAATGACAAAAGCTTGATCAGCTGCCTGTAGGCTTAAGAAAGCTTTCCATGTAGTTCGTTAGTGTCGGACGTACCAAGTGAGTAGGCACAATAGGGAATCGACCATAAGTAGAAAAGTTCGTGATGATCATCGGATCACAAATAGTCATAAAAAATAACCCCATCAGCTAGTAAAAGCCTTGTTCAACGAATCACGGGCAATGCTGTTCTTCGGAAAGGCAAATATTCCCATTGCGTTCATATGAACCAAGACCAGAAATCAGTTAAGGGTTAAGAATTCTTTTCGGTAAACTCTCCTCAAACCAAAACGTTTACATAACGCTGATTGTGTGCGGTAAGCGTCCTATCGGGCTGGGATTGGTTTCTAAGGTGTCTGAACGGTCAAAATCGATGACTAAAGGCGGCTACAGACGGCAAGAAAAGTGCACCAAAGGAATATTAATATACAAGGTTCAATAGTCTAAAGTAAAAAGGTAAGGTTACGAAGGCGAACTAAGTAACCATGTCAGCTGGCCAGTCAGTGGGCAATAGACAAGATCTGCTTTCGGAATCCTTGCGACCATGCCTAAAGCAGATCTCGTCTATTACCGAGGCTATTTACATCCACCATCTGAAGCTGGAATTATGCGTACATAAACGATTCATACGGCCGATACTACTACCGTGGCCGACTGACATGGTTACTTAATCCCCCTTCGTGACCTTACCTATTTACTTTAAACTGCTGAAGCTAGTGTATTTACGTTCCTTTGTTGCACTTTTCTTGCCATCTGTAGCCGCCTTTAGTCATCGATTTTGACCGTTGAAACACCTTAGAAATCAATCCCAGCCCGATAGGAGGCTTACTGCACACAATGAGCGTTATGTAAACGTTTGAGTCTGACGAGAGTTTACCGAAAAGAATTCTTAACCCTTAACTGATTTCTGGCCTTGATTCATGTGAAAACCCTTGTTATTCATTTAGAACGGATGTTTACTTTTGGAACGGATTAGTATCTAAACGAATTGCAGGCGATGTGCTATCAGTGAGTCAAAGAGGTAGAATTTGCTTGAAGCTCAGCCGTATGAAAAATAGGCTGTAGTAACCTCATCATTTTGCCACACAAGCTTTGGTTAGACACCACCCTTAGTCAGATGATATTTTTAGCAGCTACATCGACCCTTTTAGAAGTCCGGTCAACCCCTAATCGATTAACGAAGTTTGAATATCGGACTACCTAGGTGTACCATTATCAGCAGCATACTTGCAGTGTACCTTCCCTTATTAATTTGTGGGATAATTAAAATACATCAATGGGAATGCATCCTTCTACTCTGAAATGGCATCCAAAAGCGACGGGACATTGGTTCACCAACCAGCAACTAAGAAGCGCTCCTTAAGACCCCCCCTCCCCCACTGGGTGTGAAATATGTGGAGAACTAGGGAACCACCATGGTTAAAGCAGGATAGCGAGTGATCGGGTCACGATAAAACGAAAAGTGAACAATAGGGTAGGATATTCACCGCATTTTTGATTATACAAACGTTAGTGCACCGTTAACCCAAATGTTCTTGAGGTGAGCAAACCTCATGCAAATGGAACGAGACTAGTAGCCTAAATGCAAAAAGCTGAACTGTAGCACCGTGAAAAAATGAAAGAACCACGAAAGATAATGTCAAGTTTGCGTCGAACCAGTAGGATACTCGACCGATGAGTGCACCAAGGCGCATTGCTGAGGAGAAGCCGACACAAAAAGGGAATATTCTTAACACTGAGGCTCGGTTGTTACCAGCAGCGGCTGGGCCAGCTTACTGAAATTCAAAGTGTTAGTCACCACGAGGAACTAAAGAAGCTGGACCGACCACAAAACGGTGAAGCGTAACAAAAGGCATCAGAATCGATTGCAGCACCAGCAGATGTAGCATCAACGTACTCGGGGGAAAGGATCTGGAAAGCGACGAATTAGGAATCGTTTTGGTATACAACTATCCTGGCCAACCGAATCTGAAGGGAGTAGAACAGTTTGGTAAGGGACCAGTTGATAAGTTTCCGAATTGCTTGATTTTGAATCACACGCTGTGTGCTTGGATGAGGACATGCAGCCGCAATTAAGAGTGCAATTTACTTTGGAATGCATTTCGGTCATTCCGACCACTGAGACATCATCCGGGTTGAAGCGTTTGTTTTTTGCTCTCTCCCAACACTACTCTACGGAGCAAGATTGGTGAGTAAAGTGTGTACATACAACAGCAGAGGCTTGAAACATCGAGAACGTTTAGAAAGCGAACAAAAATGGGAAGCCCTTATTGAAGAAGAAAGGAGTCATAACAAGAACAAGTGACTAGTTATCCCTACTCCAAAGGGTCTACAGTGGTGCCCGGTGGAAATTAGCACTATTTGCATACGACCGAGAGAGAAATATGTAGGCACAACACAAAACGTATAGGACAGAAGATATTTTACGCGTCGATGCGGACCCTTACGCTACGACACACAGACATTGAGATAGCAATTCTCACTAAACCTGCTGTCATTGTGATCACTAGCATAGTCATGTAAACAAGATCCAAAAAATGAGATAATAGATGTGAGTGAAACAATTCCGAAACTTCAATGGAATATTTGACACCAATGTGGTCGTGATGCTGAGATAGTACAACCAAGAGTCGCCAGCTCAGTGACTTGGTTCACTATTGCAATTCAGCTGGTAGGCGACATCAACAAGGTGGTTCATGGGCAGCACATGGATACAGTAACAAACACGAATTAAGAAGTGCACACTGCAACTTAGCCATGGACTGGTCAAATCGAACAAATTCACAACACGATCGCAAACGACAGACGAGAGATTGATTAACCCGATGAGTTCAGAAAATGATCAGCAGGGCAGAGTAGATTGACTACGAATCACACTGAATGCAAGATGGATGTACGGGTGGTGGTGGTATTGATTTACACCGCCTACACGGAGGAAGAACTGAACACACTGCAACACACCAGTGACCATTGATTGTATTATATGAGACGCTGTGAGAAACAATGCATTCGCCGGCGACAAATGGAAAAAAACACCACACGAAACAACCTACTGCGTTTAGCTTTCCGAAAGGCGTTTTGTATGCTCTGCATCCAGGAGGTCGAGGTGGTGGTCTCTGCACAAATGGAACAAAATCACGCATAGTTTAACGACCGGGTAAACAGAGCATAATGAGAAAAGAGGCGCGCACGTTCAAATGAAATCAAACAGAATGACAGTGAAACACTTAAGAGGCATGTGAAAACCCCCTAAGCTGGTGCGAAAGCCTTCATTTTAAGAACTAGACCTCAGCATTGGTCACTTGTCTAAAAGAGTAATTAAGCGTCGAAGGAGGGGGTTAATTGAAAGTCGCAACAGAGCAAGAGAGAGAAGCCATGAAGTAAGGGTCTGGAATAATGTTACTCAACGGAATCAAGTACAACTGAGGAGGCGACAGGGTGAACAGAGAAACCGTAGCAACAGTACGAACCGGATGACGACGCAGTCCAGGACCGTAAAGTCACTCGTAGCAGAAGATAGTACGGAACATACAAAAGTGAACTGGAAAAAAAACGAAAAAAGAAGTAAATGATGGTAGCTGCTAAATCAGGCGAACGAAGCTGACGCACGGCCAATGAACGAGGAAACCAATCCGCACCACGAGAACAAAGTGACCACGTAAATACGGGCGGGGTGATCAAGGGGGAATTGGGTTGCGGCGTTCAGAATCAGGCACGCCTTAATCCAAGTCAAAGGCAAACGAGTTGCTGAACGTGACACTGCTTCGGGGCGGAGGACGCGTCGCTGATAGACCGAGCGAGTGAAACGGACAGAGCCGACAGACGGAAAGCCAATCAGCACTGCGGACATAACAAGCTGTTCACACTTGTAAGGACCGAATGAACTGACTAGAATGGGATTGGGGTACTGTAGACAAACGGCGACTGTTCCGGTTAAGATAGGAGTGGTTCAAACATGTGCAAACGGACGATGAGCACCAGATAATAAACGCAGGCAGATGGCCAAGGAAAATCAAACATTCAAAGGGCGTTTTACTGAATAGTGATGTACAGTATGCTCAGTCTTCGTTTTGATTTCCACAGGACTAGCTTGACACTAAGTGTCATATTATCCACGGAGTGAGATCGTGCTTGGAGAGGGAAGCGAAGGGGGAGGAAGGAGGACAAAGAAATTCACAATACAAATGTTACTGTGGTCGGCTTTTAGCCATATCAGCAAGTGTATCCAACCAAACGTGTTCATCGTCTTTCGAATCCCAGCCTGGCAGTCGGAACGCACCGATCGACACCAACTCCGAAGTGAGGGTCTTCATTCGTCTTGACCAAGTCGTCGTTTGGCCTACCCTACTCTTTCTCCATCCAGACCCTGGTAACGCAAACAACGCACGTCGCGGGAGTCGGTGTGCTGGCATGCGCAACACGTGGCCCAGCCATTAGTGCATGGTGCATGATATAACGTTGCTGAGCGGTTCACTCGCTCTTCTTGCTCCAAATAAGCGACGCCGAACACGCGGATTACTCACGCGATACTCCCACCAGACATGAGCTAAGCAGTGGAAGCAGCGATGGACGATAAGCACAGCATGATGAGGCAGTTTGCCTACAGCTTCTCTGCTTAATAATCAGCCATGTCACACAGATACAACAGCACGATACACACTTTACACAGGTATATGAAAAAGAACAGTGAACGTGACATTTATGACAGTGGCCACCCATCTCATGTAATCTCTCCAGCCAAGCACAGTGTGGATCGCGTAAACTTCCCACGATCTCGAAGACGAGGCGGATCATCGGCAATGAGTATAGTGGTGAAAGAAACCACCCTTGTTACCATGCCAATAAGTGATCACATCGAAACTACCACCTTGGCAAGCGGTGGACGAGCGTAGCGTGTAGTGCGAGTCTCAAAACCGTAGATTATCAGCGTCACTTATCGAGTTTGCAGAGATCATCATCGACTGATAACCGCCGGGGCTCCGGTGTGCAGCGGACACAGGACAAGCATACCTACGGAGGGACCACAGTAACACGTGCTGCATCATAATAAGATACCCAAGGCTTCTTAACCAGTGAAAGCTAGGAAACACTATGACTGGGAAAATTGTAAGTGAAAGCTAAGATTGTCTCGAAATCGATCCAAAATTAATCGACGAGATAGTGCTTAAGTAAAGTTGGGGAAAGCGCACGTCATAATTGCACAGTGTAGTATAGGAATCGTGGAGCGTCCCATCATGGAATGGTTTCTCAGGGATGGTAGTCACGGAAGCTATGCAACACATCGCATTCACCAGCAACCACCAGCAGCCGCGCGGTGCCGGTACGCGGTCAGGCGGCATCAGACGAAAACATGTATTGTCATGTGATCACGCGGGAACAAACGTCAGACATGTGAGAGCGCACGTGCAAGAAGCCCCACAGCATGGACGAGGTAAATCCAATGCCACAACAGACGCTGGATCAGCATGCACATATCGATCAGCAATAAACCATGCTCCTGATAAAGATGGCCATGCTTCCACTGACCTTAGGAGTAATGATTAGTGACTATAGTAAAACAGAAATGCCGCAGGTTCAGTAACATAGACACATTCAGTAGAAGATAAGAGATACGCAAGTATACATCGCTTTCATGTGTATAGATCATAATATGTCCGCTAGATGGGCATAAAATGTCAGTAAATTAAACGACTACGTACAGCCTACGCGGTTCAGTTGAAAGATCGCAAATAGATATGCGGATATCAAACAGTAACTGTACATCACATATTAAGTGAGACCGACCACACCGGACAGCAATGAGCGGTGGCTGGTTTAATTCATCCTGAGAGTCTCCAAAATTCTCACACGATGAGCAGGACTGAACCAAGCAGAGGAGGCAATAAGACATCAGTACATGAGGTAGGACCGTTAAGACCGAAGGAAGTAACCTTCTGATGCCAAAGGTGGATTGGAAAAGGCGGTTCTAACAGTTGTATCGTATGAAGTAACTTGTGCAGACATACGTATGACACTTTAACAAAACCAGGAAGACAGAATAGGTAAGTAAGTGCCACGAGTTACCGGTAAACAAGCACAAGTGATTTGGGTATTGAAGCAGCAAATCGCATGAGAAATTATGAGATGACTCTGAGCAGTCCATCGGAACTGGCCTCTTGGTGATGGTCCGCAGAAAAGTCCGGTCGCACATGATTACGGTGACAATAATTCACACCGATTGCAACACGAAAAAAGACAGAGCGTGAAAAATCGCCAGAGCTGTCGGTCTGATGTACATGTATCTGAAAAATGACACAATGTCCTATGCTATGACATCATCTGGACACGATGTTACAAGTGGGCTAAAGAATGGCTAGGTTCTAGAGGTGTTATAAAAAGCATGCTGTGGGGATTATGCAGAGCAGAATGACTAAAACTTTCGGTGGGCAACGACGGGGAAAGGATGTCACTGACACACTAACACACACTTATTACGTTGTTGTACGTGTTGAAGCGGCGTTCACAAGTTTAGCAACCGGTTTACGTGACACGATATAAGAATTTGAGCCACTTCGGAAAAACGATCAGCTCGTAGACGATGGTATCGAATGGTGGGACAAGACCATGCAAGTTCCGGATGTGGATGGACTGAATTTGAGCGAGCTTCGACTTCACCGTATGTGACAGACGTAGCGACCAAGCGCCTCCAGTGCAAAATGACCGGGTGACTGCCTTCTTGAGTGTGGTCAAACAATCGGAGTGGGAATTACACGCGAAGGTGAACCACGAAATACTGGTGTGCATTCGAGGGATACAGGAGGAGCACGTGAGACCAATTTCGCAGAATCGATGAGATGCGTAGCGCCACATTCGGAGCACAGATGCCCACAAGTCGTTGGATGAAATAGACTGAAAAATGAACTGGTATTATGGGCGGCAATCGGTAGGGAGTAGGCCGCGGATGGATAAGCAAGGAAAAGAGAAGAACAGAGCTCACATCTCACTACCAGTCGTTTGTGGAAATTCACTTTACCCGACATCAGGTAGGATACTGATGCTTACATTACCGATCGGAAAAGAACAGGAAACAATCCACTGAAGCGGTAAGGAGAAAAAAGCCTCATCTATGGGCAGTAAAGCACAAAATGACTGTGGCTCGTGCGTAAACTGGAATCAGTGACAGACAGAGACATACAAGGAGTAAAAATAGTGCAGGATTGCGACTAAAGTGCACAAAAGACGATTTGGGACAAGGGGTCACATCCGAATATCGAACACCTTGAAGGGCGACACCGAGGTAGAATAAGTTGGTGCGAAGAGGTAAGTGAGTATAATTACTAACGAATTCATTTGTGTTTCACTGACGGAGGGTTTGGAATAGCGAGAAAACGGACAAACACGTACACCATCCAGTTTATTGAGGAAGAAAAACGAATATAGTATCCGAGAAGAACAGGTGGTAAAGATCATGGGCTCGCTTGGATTACCTGGTTCAGGTGTTGTTGTGTCAGAAGGGAAATCAGGACCGTTTCCTTGACACGCATTAGATTTCAAAAGTTGCATCTCTGTACCGGATGTGTCCTGCTGAGTAGTTAGTGCCGCTTGAAGACGCTGATTCGCAGCTTTTTGATTCTTGGTCATAACCCTCAAATACGATAGCTCCTAAGGAACATATAAGGTACAATAAAGAGGTTAGTCAGTAATATATCGTTGTCCGGTGCTGGTCCCGTTAAGCAAAGCACATAAGCACTAGACAATAAGTTGTCATATCAATGTGGCTCTTTATTTTATTGTGAATATCTAAGCGAAAAATGATAGGTCAAAGCGTGATTATGGTGGAGTAAAGTTCACGGAAATATATCGGGAACAGTTACCAGAAGTTGCAAAGCCCCAATTGCGCCAGCATCACGCCTGATCAACATGGGTTCGCGGGAATCATCACTGATTGACGGAAGCAAATCGAGGCAGACCAGTAAGTTCAATGCATAGAGGGACTCGTGCTCTCAATGGCCACACGTGTACAAACGAAATGTAGTCCAACCACAGTCCTTAGAAGGGACTCCTAGGAAAGCACCAGTTAAGCGGTAAGGTATAGGCCACTTTTTACTCAAAAAGTGAAAGCTATCACGAATTAAGTGTACAATGCTTTGAATGATATTCCCGAACACAATAAGCCACCCGAACGAGGAAGCGAGTGCATGATTGAAAGAAGTCGGTGGTTTACCACGAACACCAGCATAAGTATGGTCAATATGGACTTAGATGATGAAGGTGTTTGGAAACTGGCCATCATGCACATGTTTTCGTAAATGTCAGTCAATAGGTAATCCAAACATCAGTAATATGATCGTCCATTTTCCATTTCAATCTAGCAGACTTAAAATAAGGTGGACGTGTAGCACACGGCTCAATCGTATGGAAGTGTATGGGAGTCAATTCCCACTGCTGGCAGAATTCCCCAGCAAAGTCGGCCGTGTTAGACGCAGACGGCAACTTAGCCGCTCAAATGCATGGGAGCTGTTCACAACTTCCAAACGAGTGAAATGTGAGTTCAGTGAAGTTACTAGGGAGATTGTTTAGATGAGGTTTGCTTTATGGCAAAGGTCTCGCTGGTCTGCAGTTTGTTAAACCCACCAGCCAATTGCTCCTTGATGGTAAGGTCAGTCGCGCACACTGAATGTCAAGAGCAGAATAATTAGATGCTCATGAAAAAAACCCGTTCCGAAATTCTATTCGAACATGAAATAAACAGGATGAGGTAGGGGCAAAATGAAAAGAAAAAGCGGGAGATAGAGAACAACTGAGATTATGCCTCTAAGCGCGGTATGACTCCAGAAGTTTCGCAAAAATGAGACGCCGAAGGAATAGAACACATGCTAGGATGCTTCAGCAGTCCAATAAGTTAAAAGTAACCGCGACTGAGCGCTTTCAGAAACGTACACTTGCTTCAAAGTCCAGGGAAAATTTAAGCGTTAGAAGACGAGAAGACAAACTGCTCCGGTTAACGAGAATGAAAACATAGAGTGCCTCGCTACAATGACGCTCAAAGTCCAATGCTCTGAAATTGTTCCTAGCTGGTCCGGAAGGAGAGGCTCTAATAACAATGGGAATAGCTGATCTCAAAATCTAACCAATGGATGCTTTAATCGAGGGCTATGTTTCAGCGCCGAGACGGCTGGAATCAGCTGAACCACGTGATTGTCGTACCTCAATGACCGAATAATGTTGGCTTTCTGATCGATAGCGTGCATAACACCTAGATGGGTGTGCAGCGAATAGAAACACCCGTGTGTATCCACCTGCGGTAATCAAGCTCTTGATCTGAATTTGTTAGCAATCCAATGGAGATCTATGTTAAATATCAACGACAGCACGGTAGTTCACGTTTGTTGACAAGTTCTCACTTTTAAAACGCCCACTTGGCAAGTGCAGAACAGTCTTAATCTGTGAGCCGCAGTGTGACCGGTACTAATCACATGACATAGTAGTACTTACTTGGGTAAGTTCACGACCGTTTGATTCATGTAGGAGGTGAGCACTTAGTGAGGTTGAATGCATCGGCAACAAATACTACAGATGAGGCAGTTATTGACAGTCACATAACAGGCAAGTAAACTGTATGAAGTATGAAGAAGACTGCTCGACTGCAATTACTATGAGACTGTAACATAACCATATTACTGGGGGAAGTACGAGATCCAAGAAGCGAGGGCAGTAAACCAACAGCACCCTTCAAAACCAAGGAGTCTGGTAGCAAAAAAAACCGAATGGTTTATGAGGCCTTTCACGTCGTTTGGATGCGGCAGCCTACAGTTGAGAACTTAGGGTTCAGTGGACAAGTTGCAATAGCATAGCAGATAACGTGTAGCAGAGAAGTGATCGAAAAGGATATAGAAAATATGTGGATGCAGTAAGAAATCTGCCATGAAGTTTCGGTGGAAACTGGAATTCGCCAACTATGTGTGTGGAGTCGAATGGCATGCGAGGATGGTGAATGGAAACAAGCGGTAAGGAGTAAATGAAATGTACAATTCACAGTGGATATGAGAATCCGAGTGTCTGTGATGTTAAACTAGATGATATCCTTCGAGTTCCCTATAAATTGGATCCGCAGCGTGACTGGCCACAGAAATGAATCAGCGTCCACCATGCAGTGGCACAAGAAACAGTGTAACTGCACAATTTGTGACATGGCTACACACCAGACAAACGAACAATAAAACACTCAATGGGCAAGCTCATTCCATTCACCTGCTTTGTTTATGGGAGTCATTATTAAGGACACCGACAGACAACTGTGCTGGCTTTTCAATTCGCGTCCAGTTGATCATTAAGCTGGTTGTTTATTCCTTAGATTTTCACCATTGAAAATTTGTATATCTGCATTGCTGAGGGTAAGCATTATCCATCGTGCTAACGCGTCTGGGTTACAGCTGAATAACTCGACTAGGCTGAAAAACGATAAGAAACTTCCGCTTCTGAATATGCGAAACCGCTGTCAAGTCAACAAGTCAAGATAAGCTGCATACACCATCGTGGAAGCATTTTCAGCAATTTCCAGTAAAACTGAGGACATACTACAACATAAAATCGGTGGGAAAATGATGTGAATTGAGGTGAACAACAAAAAGAGTACATTTTTAAGCAAGCAAACGTCATTACAGTTGTTGCACCATCACTCTTGGGTCGACTAACAAGCGAGACAGATAGGGCAAAATGGAGTCACGATACGAAGAGGTACGGAAAAAAAAATAAATTTCGACATTAGCGATGAAATGGATTCCGAACTAGCTAAAACGGCGTGCAGGGGGTGAGAGGGGTGATTTAAGATCTTGGTTGAGAAGTTAAAGCATGCGACAAAATGTTTGCTGACCACAAAACCAACGAGGATTTCTCTGCTTGCTTCAGAGCACCGGGAAACAAATTTCTGTGATCGCACAAGAAGAGTATAATCCTTTTCAAGTACTCACGAGGAAAAGAACAGGTGAACAGTATATATATATATATATATATATATATATATATATATATAATACACAATCTGTGGTACAGATATTGTGCCATCGGAATCATGGCTGAATAGGAAAACAATATGAATAATAAGAAAGGAGCAACAACAAATGCTTTTTTTGTCAATTTTACCACTCACAGTTTTTGAAATTTTTTCAGTTTGTTCTTTTTTAGGGGGAGGAAGAAGGGACACCGCAACAAACCGATGCACACGTCCGCCATTGACATCGATCTTGAGCCATAACTTCCAAGGTCTTCAACCAGCAAGTATCCACATCTCTCGGACCCCAACCAGGTAGTCGACAACAACCGGCCGAGGCCAACTGTTTCGTCAACTTTTTCATGCAGCTTCTCCATGTTGTAGGCTGTCCACCAGACCGTCTCTTCCAACCCTGTCCAGCAAGTGCAAACAACGCACGACGGGGGTAACGCTGGACAGGCATGCGCAATACGTGTCCCAACCACCGCAGTTGATGCAGTGAGATGAGCTCCTCGAGCGAGTGGCTTCCACGTCCCAAGACACACTGTCTAACTTCCACATTGCTTACGTGGTGCTGCCACCACACACGGGCAATGGACCGCAGACAGCGGTGCTCGAAGACGGATAGCCTGCGCAAGTCATCTTTACGAATGGGCCAGGTCTCGCATCCGTACAACAGTACAGCACGAACAGTTGCACAATAGACCCGCCCTTTGATGGAGAGACGAATGTCGTGGCGACGCCACAAATGCCTCAGCCTAGAAAAAGCGAGGCCTGCTCTCGAGATGCGCATCGACATCTCGTCTCCAACAGCTCGGCCAGCAGTGATGCAACTTCCCAAATAGACAAAGCTCTCCACAACCTCTAGTGTCTCACCAGCAAGCGTGAGTGCAGGCAGAGGCACCTGCCAGTCTTGGAAGAGAGCCTTGCATTTGGATGGCGAAAAGTACATACCGTACTTTGAGGCTTCAATCGCAAAGCGGTTTAATGCAAGTTGGACGACGTGTGCATCGTCACCCACCAAGACGATATCATCAACATAATCCAAATCAACAACTTGACTACCTGGGAGGAGCTCAACGTCAGCGTTCAACGAATCGCCTAGAGCGTTCTTCAAGACATCCTCAATGGCAAGGTTGAATAGGAACGGAGAGATAGGGCATCCTTGTCGAACTCCACTGGAGACCACAAAGGTAGGCGAAAGCATGCCATAAGCCCTAACCCTGCCCGAGGTCAGACTGTGTTTAGCGCGCAGTATGGAGACGAACTTCTCGGGGACACAGTTCCTCAAAAGGCAATGCCACAGTACTTTACGATCGACAGAATCGAAGGCTGCACGGATATAAAGAAACACAGCAATCGTTGGCCGCTGATACACATGGCGGAGCTCGAGGATCTGGCGAAGTGTGAAGATTTGATCGATGCAGCCGCGACCAGGGCGAAACCCAGCTTGTTCCTCTCGTTGCAACGATTCGCGTGTTGGGGATAGCCTGCGAAGTATGATGGACACCAGCAGCTTGCAAACGACGGGGACTAAGCTTATTCCTCTGTAGTTGGAGCAGATTGTGCGCAGGCCCTTTATGAAGATGGGGACGACTATCGGTTCACCCCAAGATGATGGAACTTTCTCTTTCGGCCAAATTTTCAAGAACAAAGCGGTGATTTCTCG